ATGCAACTTACTATCAATTCCTATAGGGTAATTAACGGTATCTATGCCTTAGCTAGGCAAGAAAACCTTAGAATCACCCTAGCCGACCTTCAATATTGCTATACCATGTGTCCTCTTGATCTGAAGGATAGGGGTTTTGTCTATTACCTTAAGCCGAGATCCACTCAGTACAAAATTATAGCCGACCTCCCAGACTCCAACAAGGGGGCTGGAGATGATTTTCTCATTGCTTCTGGAAATTCGGAATTTGGCCCAGATGAAGATGTCCACCTTTACCCACTTTCTCGAACACTTACAGAGGGCAAGAGTAAGAGCCTTGAGTCAATGCTTAGTTGTTTTTACTTAAAACTTTCATACTTTTTGTTTCTGACGTCTGTTTCTTTGCAGATCTTCATCAGCCACCGAAAAATTTTCGTCAATCCTTCTTCCCAGGAACAGATCTGAAAACACTTCTTGGCCTTCCAATCCATAAACGAAAAGCCCCTGTATTACTAAACTTCATCCCTACATACAAATCCACCTTACCCGATATTCCAAGAAAAATGAAGAAGAGTCTTTCTCCACCCACAGCCACAACCTTAACTGCTTCTACATCCCGAACAGATCTGACCCAGTCGATCTTCCATCAACTTCGGCCCCCTACTTAATACCAATTCCAGAACGTAAACGTCGACGAAGACTTGTAAAGACTGCCGAGATGGTTCGTCCAAGGCCTGTCGTTCAAGATCCTCTTGCCGACCTTCCAACCGACGCCGATGCTGCACCAACGCATGCGATGCCCCCACCAAAGCCGAAGAGAGTAAAAAAGGCTCAGCCCAAGGCCAAGGTTACTGACGCCGAGGTTGATGATGCTTTGCCTATTTCTCAGCTGGCAGGAAGCAAAAAATCAACCTCTGCTTCTACCAAGAGGTCTGCTGAGGCCCAACCCTTGGGGCCTACACAATCAAAAAAGCCGAGGTCATCGTCTGCGACGACCTCGGCGTCAAAGAAGCCCGATGTTCCATGGGCTCCTGAACTAACCCTGGAGGACAGGCCTATCATGGCCAGTGAAAGTGCCGACGATATTAACGTTGGTGTCGCCCTTAGCACAGCTCTTCTCCTTCCAAATGATTTGGAGCGAAATGCTAAGCTTAGTGAGTACGAGAATTATGCTCTCATGCTCCAACACTGTGTTCATGTAAGTATTTTTGTTTGTATTTGCGTTTTTTCCTACTGTTTCTTTCTGAAAAAAAAATTTCTGACACTTCTATTTTCATTCAGGCTATTCAACATGCCCATTCATTTTCAATGCAATCATTTGAAAATCGGCAAAGGTTGGTTGATATGAAGAGGGAAGCATCTTCCATGAAGAAAGAGATCAAATCTCTTGAATCAAGGATGAAAAAACTGGAGGATCAGGCCGAGGCGGCTACTAAGGCCCAAACTTTAGCTCTTGAGAAGGCCGAATCCGCTGAGGCCGTGA